CCTTGGCGCCCTGCCTGGTCGGTGGGCTGCACATGGTGATGCTCATCCCGTACTGGCTCTCCCAGCTGTGCGGCGGGCTGATCGGGGCCGGCCTGGCCAAGGTATGGGCATCAGGTCTCTCTCTCTTGCTAAAGGGTTGATTTCCTGGAGTGCTGGACTCCCCTCCGGGCGGAGCTGAGGTCCGGGAGGGCGCAGGTCATAGTGCGGGGTGCGCTGTGTCACAGTCCATCCTGCGCCGGGAGCCAGAACCCGGCAGCCGAGGGAGCAGGTGGGAAAGGCGGGGGAGAGGGTGGTCTCCGAGCCTCGTTACTTCCGGAAGTGCCATTGTGCCGCGAGGCTGAATGGGCACGGCGAGGTGCAGCATGTGCACCTGTGGCTCCCGATCCTCCGCGCCCGGCTCAGCGTACGGCACTCGGCATGCCGCTGCCCCACCCCTCGCTGCGGAGGTTTGCCTGGGACACGCCCGTTACCCAGGGCGCTGGGAATCTGCATGAACCAACATTCGGGGCAGCCGTTCTGCAAGGGCTGGATTGTTATTTGGTTCAATGCAGACGAAGGCAAATTGCTCCATCTCCACCTCCGCCCTTTGCAATGACCTTTCCCGGTCTATATCGCCCCGCCGCAGCACTTGACAGCAATAGCACGGTGCCGGGGGCAGGCTGCAAGCAATTAAGCTGATACCGGAGGTTAATTTCTTTACCGCTTTGCGAGGGGAGCTGGTGGTGGCTAATCCACTTGTAATTATCCGCTGGCGAAAAGCCTTCACTAATGAGTGAACATTCGCGGGAGACTCAGGTTGACTTTCAGAAAGAAAGTGATGAGATTAGCACCTCCTGGCCCAGAGCTTCTGTCTGCTTACCCCAGCCTGGCTGGGACCCCAGAGCCACGGCATGGCCGTTGGGAGCCGTATCAATTCCTTGGCGCTCTCTTGCAGGTGATGACAGACAATGAGAGATACATAAATGCCACTGGAGCGGCTTTCACGAGCATCACTGATGACGAGCAAATCCCCTCCGCCCTGACGGGGGAGATTGTCATGACCATGTTCCTGGTCCTGGCCGTCTGCATGGGAGCCATCAACGAAAAGACCAGCAGCCCTCTGGCACCTTTCTGCATTGGTTTCACTGTCACCGCCGACATCCTGGCCGGGTGAGTCGGCAACAGCCTCTCCGTGTTCCCTGTCGCCGCCACCCCCCTTGGGGAAAGACAGCTGCCCGGCATGCCTGTTGTATGGCTGGGGCAATGAGCCTTGGGGCTGGATTTCGTTGTGGGGCTGGATTTCGTTTCTAAAGCAGTGTCGACACGGGGCAGGTTTGGCGGCATAAGTTCTGTCGACAGGCAAACGTCGCCAAAAGGGAAAACTGATTTTTCTGCCGCCCATTGGCGACATTTCGTGGCCATATTGCGAGCACCCTATTGACAGAGCAAAGCATTGTGGGGAAGCATCCCACAGGGCAGTGCGGCGGGAAGGCAGAGCTGATCCCTGCGCTTCTTGGGATTCCCTCGTAGCTCTGTGAGATCTCCGTGCTAGGGAGTGTCAAAGCAGCACGGTCGTCTCTCCAGACCTCTCCCGGCAGCACCAGCCGCCCGCCTGCCGCTGGGTTCCTAGCCGGGCAGAACAGGAGCATCTCAATGATTTGCTCTTTGTTTGTTCCCCAAAGGGAGCAGCTCCCTCAGCTGTCAGATACTTCCCAGAGCTTTGAAAGGGGAGGGGCGCAGACCTGCTGGGCAGCAGAGATCACAGAACATTGAGCAGAGCCAGCAGGACAGGCACTGAGGGATACTGACGGAAGCCACTTCTCTCGACAGAGCAAACAGCAGGGTCCACACTGGCTCTTTGTCACCAATAAAGGGAGGGGAAAGGACAAAAGTCTCCCACAGGACTAGAAGTTTTTTCCCACCAAAACTGGGTGTTTTTCCCGACAAAAGTTGCATTGCTGTGTAAACGCGCGTGCTGTTTTGAAATGCGCCAGTGTAGACGTGCTCTGGCAGGCAGCGAGCAGTAATTGGAGTCGTCCCAACAGAAAGTCCAAGGACAAGTGGGCTGGGGAAACTAAACTTCCCTGTTAGAAGGGAGTAGGAGCAGGATGGGGGCACACTGGGATGGAAGCTTGCTCGGTTCTACCCCGTGCTGTGGAGGCTCCCTAGAAATGCAGAGGACTTTCGTTTCCAGTGTCTGATGTTCTACGGGGGAGACTCTCTGGGCTGTGTCATGCAGGAGGCCAGAGGGGAAGGCTCGTTGCGGCCCTTTCTGGCCTTTGTCTGAGTCACTCAGGCTGGTTTCACTCCGGTGTGATTTGTGGTGGGAGGAATGTTGGCCGCCCTGGGTCAGAGCCCAAAGACGGCGTCAGCAAAGGCCTGTCAGTGGGCGTCAGACCCGTCAGATGCTTGAAACCAGACCAAGTTTTTCAATCAAAGCTGTTGTGGGCGGATAAACAAGAAAGGCCCCTGGACAAGGGCTGTAATAAGAAGCGTTAAGGCCGGAGAACCAGGCTCACTTGAGTCATTTTTCACAGCACGTTCTGGCTGTTAGAAGAAACTGCCCGGCTTGGCCTCGGCGTGCACCGAGCTTTCAAGTGAGCGGCTGTTGACTTGCCGGTGTCGCTGGCATCAGATAACAAGAGCCGGGCTTACGAAGAGGCTGTTTATTTAAGGGAGGGCCCCCTCTAGTGGGGTTTCAAACTCTTATTTAAACACTGCCCACGCGTCCAGTGCCAATGTTTATCTGCAGCACGCTGGGACCGACACCCAGTAACGAGCCTTGAGCTGAAAGCCCCAGCTGCCAGCCAGCCCCCCGCTGAAACGGAAAGCCAGCGCTGTGATTTCCGTCCCGGGACGCATCTGGCTTCCCTAGACTGCCTGTGCGTGTTACCCACCCGATAAGGGGCTCCCGCGCTGGCAGCGAAGACGGGCGTCCGCGCGGGTAGGGTCGCCGCGAGATGAGTTTTGCAGGGGTCCCCAGAGTGGTGCGGATGACTCCAGGCCGCCATCCGCAGGGCATCGCTGGAGAGATGGTTCCTTTCTCGTAACCCTGTGGCCTAGGCGTTCTGCAGGGTGCGTTGTGCGATGGCTCCTTTGCTTTCTCTTCCAGAGGCGCTATATCTGGGGCATGCATGAACCCTGCCAGAGCGTTTGGGCCCGCGTTGGTCGCCAACTACTGGGACTACCACTGGGTGTACTGGGTGGGGCCCATGGTAGCCAGCCTGCTAGCTGGTGTCTTGATACGGTAGGTGACGGGACACTGGCTAGGGTGGGAAGGGGCTGTGTAAGCAGAGGGAAAGCTCTGTGTGAAGAGGGCCTGGGGATTAGTGTGGATGAGAAGCTGGATCTGTAGCCAAGAAGGCTAATGGCACATTGAGGGGCATTAGGAGGAGCATTTCAGGTGGATCTAGGGAAGTGATTATTCCCTTTTATTTGGCACTGGTGAGGCCACCTCTGGATTACTGTGTCCAATTCTGGTGCCCCCATTACAGAAAGGACGTGGGCGCATTGGAGAGGGTCCAGCGGAGGGCGACCAAAATGCTGCGGGGGCTGGAGCATATGACCTACGAGGAGAGGCTGAGGGATTTGGGTTTGTTTAGTCTGCAGACGGGAAGAGCGAGGGGGGATTTGAGAGCAGCCTTCAACTTCTGCAGGGGGGTTCCAAAGAGGCTGTTCTCAGTGGGGGCAAAACGAGGAGCAATGGGCTCAAGTTGCAGTGGGGGAGGTCTAGGTTGGAGAGTAGGAAAAACAATTTCCCTAGGCGGGTGGGGAAGCGCTGGGATGGTTCCCTAGGGAGGGGTGGAGTCTCCATTCCTAGGGGTGTTCACGTTCTGGCTTGACCAAGCCCTGGCTGGGCTGATTGAGTTGGGTTGGTCCTGCTCTGGGCAGGGGGCTGGACTCGGTGCCTCCTGAGGTCTCTGCCGGCCCTGGGAGTCTCTGATTCAACGTGTCCTGTGGAGGTCTGGGGCCTCTCCTGGCCAGTTGGTTGATCCCCAACCCAGGTGTGGGGGAACGACCAGTGACCCACGGTAGCGGCTCCAGAGGCCCTTCCTAATCCCCTCTGCCTCCCAGCCCCCGCCCCTCGGGCCTGCACTAGAAACAGGGACTCCTGAGTCTCCGGCGAGCCTGGCTTGCCGGGGGCATCGACTGGTTGACGTCCCTCCCCGGGTGACGCCGGGTTTACTCCTGTGCCTCTGACCTTCTGATTCGTGGGAGCAGATTCCCTCCGGCAAAGTTCCCTCATCAAAACGAATCAGCCAGAAAAGCTTCAGCCGCATCCTAGCCAGCCGCGGGGGCGCTGCGCCCTCTGCCAATCCCCACGTGCTGTGTGGGGCGCCCCCCGGCAACGGCAGCCCCTTCGCTGGTTAGCGCCCACGCCCCAGTGAGACAGGGGGTCTAAAATCCTCTGCATGCACCTGGAGTCCCCGTGGCAAGACGGATTCTAGAGGTTTAGACAGGTGGGGAACCGAAGGCCCAGGGGCCGGAGGCGGCCCTCGGCTTGCCTGGATCCAGCCCCTGAGGCTCAGGGATCCCCCCCATGCTGGCCCCCACCGTTATTCTCCCGTGGGGCTGGTTGGGGGTGGGTTTTTTTTCCCCACCCTCTGGCCCATTGGTCTGTCTTCCCCTCCTGCAAGGCGGTAGCCGACGTGGTTTGGGACGGGCGGGTCGTGGTTTCTTTGCCCCATGCAGCCCTGCACTGGTCCCCCTGCTGCAGACACTCATCTCGCTCTGTGTTGCCCCTGCAGACTCTTGATTGGCGACCGGAAAATCCGCCTGCTCCTGAAGTGAGGCGTGGGAGGGGACTGCCTGCTGGACACGCTTGCGGATCGGAGACTGGCTCTGCTTGGCCCTGGGGGAGAAACTCTGCTTCACCGCACGCCCACGCCTCCTGCTCGCTCTGGCCGCGGGGCGCTGCTCCGGGCTCCGAGCCTGCCCGTTGGTTTCCCCCGCGAGCTGGTCTTGGCCGGATGAGCCCACCTGAAGCTGTAGCTCCTGTGAAACTAACACCTGCTGCGCTGAGATGAAAGGACAGGCAGGGGCGGGCTGCTGTGAGCACGGGCCTTGTGTGTCTGCCCTGGGGCTGCGCCTCTTGTCACGGTCCTGATGGGAGCCAGATGCCAGAGCCGCTGTCCCGGGGGTTCCCATCCTGCCCGGAGAGGCGCTGAAACGGGCAGGAAGGGCTGGCGAGCAGTGAAGCAGCCGGGCTGGTTCTCACCTCGGGGTGCCAATGCGCTTGCTGTGCCAGCCACCAGGGGAAATTCGCTTCTGTTACTTTACTGCTCTGGAGAGAGGAGCACCCGTCCCTGTGTGCTTCCGGCCCCAGTGCGTTCCCGGCCCAGTGCACCCGGTGCTGCTGGGGGAAGCGCACTCCTGCTGGGTCCCAGGGCCCCATCCCGTGCGCTGGATCTCTCGCCGTCTCCCCTGCGCCCCGGGGCTGGCTGACGTCTCCGCCGGTTGCCAGACGCCGTGGTGCGGAGCCTGCCCTAAGCCTAATAAGGTGAATAAAAGCCGCGTTGCACAGAAATGCCTGTGGAATGTGCGTCATAAGTCACCAGCGCCGACGCTGATTGATTTCTGAATTCTTGAGAAAAAAACAAAACAGAAAAAAACGTCCAAACAGCTGGGCCAGAATGTAAATTCACACAAGCGTGGCCAGGCACTTCCCAGCACCGGGCGGCTGAGTGAGGTCACGGCCCCACAGGATGCCCCGGCCCTGCCCCACCGGGCGGCTGAGTGAGGTCACGGCCCCACAGGATGCCCCGGCCCTGCCCCACCGGGCGGCTGAGTGAGGTCACGGCCCCACAGGATGCCCCGGCCCTGCGCCCTGCCCCACCGGGCGGCTGCCCGCGTTCTCCACCTCACTTCACAAGCAATTTGTCTCCTGTTTCCGACTCTCTCTTTTTTTTCCAGCCTCCCCAGGCCATCTCCTCCTCCTCGGCCCTCTGCAAAGCCCCGCGGCGCTAAAGCCTGCGGCTCTTTCCCCAGAACGGTCAGTTCCTTTCCCAGCACGTTGCTCTCCCTGCGCCTGCAGCCAGCTCTGGCCTGATCTCCCCTCTGCCCCGTGGTCCTGGCGGGATTGTGCAGGACTCGCCCCTCGCCCTAGCTCCCCGGTGGGCGCAGCGACGGGCCAGCAGAGGACAAAAGCAGAACCCACGTGTCTGTGCACTCAGGGCCCTTGGCTGGCCTTGGCTGACGTCTCCTCACGAAGAGCGTTTGCTTCGGTTTACAGACCGTTGTGGTGGTTGTCACTGTAAATACACAGAACAGTTTGCAGGAGCTGGGTAGCAGGTCACAAGCTGCCTCTGCCAGAGGCCTCTTCACTGAATGAAGCCAGGGACGAGGAGACGGCAAAGAAGAAGGTGCGAAGGCTTAGCCAGGGCGGCAGGGAAAAGGCGCTTTCATGCAGGAAAGCCTGAATTCTCCCCCTTCCCCCTAGCCACGCTTGCGTCCTGCTGGGTTTGCGTGGTTTGCAGAGCCGTGCACAGAGATTTAAATCAGAACTGTGCACTAAGTGGGGACTTTCCGTGTGAGGCAAGAGAGTGTCGTCTGCAGCTCCAAGAACACCCGGTTCTCACTTATCTAGGCCTTGTGTCTGCAAACAGCCCTCCTGTCGATTCTGGGTACTCAGGAAGTCTCGTCACTTCTCTAGGCGGGCCACCCTCCGGCACGGAGATTGGTTAGAGTTAAACAGCCCCGCTAGCGACGTGCCCTGTGTGATCGCACATAGTGGGAGGTGGAGCTGGCAGGGCCACCTAGACTTAAAGCTGCTTGATGCATCCCGTTACCAGACCCCGTTGTCAGTTGCTTATAACTTTGCCAGACCTGAATGGTGTGAAAATTCCCACGTTGGGCGCCTGTCGCGGGCTGCCAAACTCGGGAACTGTCATGGCTCCTTCCCCACTCTAGCACGATAAATGCAGAAGTGGGGGCCAGAAAAAGTACCCCAAAACCTTATCTACCAGGCTTTGGTATAAAACTCCCCCCCAAAGTCTTAACAACCTAGATTTTGGGAATAAAACACCACTGCTGCCACCCAAACATTAATAAAGCAACCGGGGAGAGACTACTTGGGAAATCTCACCCTAAAATACAAACCAGGACACACAAATTAACCAATACCAGGTTGTTAAAAAGAAAAGAGAAAGAACTTTTATTATCACCACAGTATTCCTGTTGCAAGCATAATGACTAGATGGAACAGTAGCAAAATAATATACTTGTGGAGGAGAAATTTACCATGGGCCAGGAATTTAGTTACAAAGGAGAGCAAAAGCCATTTTTAAATGCACAGACCAGATCCTATTTCCCAAACCATAAAACAATAAAACCTAACAGATTTGTCTAAACTTTATCCTACTTACAGACTGTGAAGCGTATTTCCTTAGAGGGAGACAACCTGTCCCTTCAATAGCTGGAGAGAGAAAAACTACTCCCAGAAACAAAGGAGGGAAAAACCCCAAAATTCCTTTGTCCCAGTTTGAAATTCCTACCTACATTTCTATTGGCTGCCTGCCACCTGGTCTAGGTAAAGGACATAGTTAACCCCTTAGTCTTCAGGAAGCCTCATGATCATGACAGGAACGTTTGAGCAGAAAGGGGCCTGCTCCCAGCAGTTCTAGCACCCGTGGGCTTCGGAGCAAGGGCTTCAGCTTGGCCAAGTCACAAGTCTTTGATAATTTTCAGTTTCCACGTGACTGGTGAGAGTCTGGAGGCCTCCCGCGGCACTGAGCGCGCTCCCTCCTCTCCCGGCTTCTGGGAGAACTGACCAGCACCCATCCCCTCCCCGCAGCGCCTGCTCTGGCTGCGTGCCCGTTTCTAGCACCCGTGGGCTTCGGAGCAAGGGCTTCAGCTTGGCCAAGTCACAAGTCTTTGATAATTTTCAGTTTCCACGTGACTGGTGAGAGTCTGGAGGCCTCCCGCGGCACTGAGCGCGCTCCCTCCTCTCCCGGCTTCTGGGAGAACTGACCAGCACCCATCCCCTCCCCGCAGCGCCTGCTCTGGCTGCGTGCCCGTGAGCACAGGAGTTAAGAGCAGAGCTGGGCTGCCTCTCCCCTGTGCCTAGGCAGCCTGGAACAGGAACACGCCTGACTCGGGTGCACCGTGGGAGCCAGCCGTGTGGCCGAGGAAGAGGGGATGAGGAGTCCAGGGTGGGGAGGTTCCTGGGGTAAGGAACAGGGCTGTTCCTATCCATGCTGGTGCCCTGTGCAGACCCATACTGGCCCCTCTCCCCCAGGGGAGGCTGAAACTGTGGGGGAAAGAGGCTGCAACTCTCCTGGACCGGACACCGTTCACTGCAGTGCCGTCCGGCCCGGGAGAGTTGGGAAAGTGGGCAGGGCCAGGAGGGAGGTGCAGGCTGGAGGGCTCGGGGGGAGCAGCGGGCGGCTGGCAGCTGGCTGGAGAGAAGCAGCATTTTTA